AGCTCGTTGAGGTGGTCATTTTTGTATAGATTTTGAGCCATAAATCGAGGTTTTGGGCCGCAACTTGAGGCAGCAAGATTTGTGAGATACTTGTGATTTTAGATTCAAGATCTCACCCACTTCTTGATTTTTTTTTCCTCGATTTATTTATTGTAGATTGACGAGCAAGTTGCCATGATCATTTTGCAACAAGAATGGTTTGATTTGGTGCCCGAATGGCCACTTTCTCAATTGAGGAATTTTGGCCAGAATTAGGATTCCAGTGGCCAAAAATTGCCTCTTCCTTATCCTTGAAATACAATAAATCCGACCATTCATCACGCCCAAGGCTTGGTCCGAATGAAGTCCTTGACCTTGTGGTCGCGATGCATCCATTTTTAGGCCGATCGGGTATGCAGGTGTTGTGATACGGGTATTTGATCAAAGAGACCTTCTTCTTCAAAATTCCTGCAACTTTTTCTTTTCCATGGCAATCTTCTCTCTTTGATTTCTCTCGGCTCTGACCATGCCATCGGGCATGCAATATATGAAAACAATTGGGTCGATGAGACGAACATCCTTCCGAAATTTGGGCTCATTCTGACCCAGGATGAAGGAGAAATGGCCATGGAAAGTTCATCCTAAAATTGGAAAACATAGTTTCCATAAGTAGAAGCTGATTCACTGAGGGTAAACTAGGATTGTGTGCGGCCTATCCTTTGGTAAGTTGGCCACAGATTGGTCCAGAAACGTTCGAATAAGTCGAAACTTGGTATCCAGGGGTTTTCGAACGTTCTAAATGCAATGGAAGTGGTCTGGTGATCGTTTGAAGCTTCGACGATAGTGTTGTAGTTACAGGGTCTTCTTTCAGCATGCTAGAGGCAGAATATTGAAAACTGTTTTGGCGTCTGATCTGCCTTAACTTCGTCAAATCGCGACGAAACTTAGTGGGTATTCTTATGAGACCCTTAGCCACGTTTTCGATCATTTTTAGGCCATTCTAGGACTATCAAAAATCAAATTTTGAATCAGGGCTTATTTGCCTACTGCTTCCGTGGTCCATAGGAATTTTGGTACCTACGGACCTAGATCGCAAACTGCTCTCTCTTTATGCGTACCAGAGATAACAAGTATTAGAAAATACCCCTCAACACTAGTATCCATATCAGATTTGGATCTAGTTGGGCCAAAACCCTTTAAATACTTATCCACTTAGGAAAAATATCTTGGTTTTATTGATATAATTTTAGCATCTTGGCAAGGCAGAGTGGGGGGTACACCTATGTTCCGCTTTGTTACAAAGCTGAAAAGACTTAGGGAGATTTGCGTGCTTGGAATAAGGAAGTATTTGGTCATGTGAGTGATGTTATTTTGGAAGGTTGGCAAAAACTATCTATTCTACATGATAGCCCTTCCATTGAAAATTTAACGGTAGAAGAGGACTGTACTGAAAAATAACAACACTAATTAAGCCATGAAGAGAGAATATGGACGCAAAACTCAAGGCAAAAAAGGTTGAAGGACAGGGATTCGAATACAAGGTTCTTCCATCTGTCTGCTGTAATTAGGAGAAGGAGTGATCATATTATCTCCCTAAAATATCATAACAGAATTGTTTTGGCTTCTGAAGCAGATATTGACAATCACATGATATGTTTTTTCAAAGATCGTCTAGCCCAAGAAAATGATGTTGATAATCATATGGCTGAACATTTTTTGCCACCATCTCTACTTAGCACTCATCAGCAGGAGAGGTTAGTAAAGGATGTTTCTATGAAAGAGATAAATGATTGTATTTGGGGAATGAAATGTGACGGTGCTCCGGGCGCCGATGTTTCTTGGTAAAATTCTATAAATGCAGATGGGAGATGCTCAAGAAGGATCTCTTTTTGGCTCTTAATGTTTTCTTTAAGAAATGTAAATTTCTTAAACAAATTAATTCGACCTTTATTTGTCTGATTCCTAAGGTTGCCACTCCTACTATGATGAAAGATTTTCGCCCGATTGGTTTTATGCAATGTGCTGTATAAAATAATTAGTAAAATAATTTATAATCGCCTACGGGTAGTGCTAAATGATTTGATTGGCCCTAAACAGCTACCTTCCTGAAAGGTAGACTTATTACTAATAACACCCTCATGGCAAATGAACTCATATCTATATGCAATAAGTAGTCTCATAGAGCAAAAATGTCCTTGCAACTAGATTTGAGCAGTGCTTATGATAAAGTATCTTGGTCCTTTGTTATTGCTCGTACAAATGCTTTGGGATTTCTAGATACTTTTATATCTTTATGCATATCCACACATTCATTCTCTGTGTTGTATAATGGCTCTCTTGAGGGTTATTTTAAGGGGAAAAGAGGTCCGAGACAAGGGGATCGCTTATCTCCTTATCGTTTTCTACTGGTGATGGATTTTTTGAGTAGACAATTGGATTATGCTATCAAGCAAGGTACAATTACTAGAGCTTTTCCTTCAGGCTGTGATTATGGAATATCACATCTTTTTTTATGCGGATGATGTAGCGATTTTTTGTAATACTTCAATTAATATTGTTGTTGTTATGAAGTCAGTTCTCTCTATTTTTGAAGCAACTACAAGACAAGCACTTAATATTGCAAAAAGCATAGCCTTCTTTTTTGGGGTCTTGTAGGGCAAGAAATCTTTGATTATGAAAGAACGTGGTTATGGTGAATGATCCCTTCCAGTTCGTTACCTAGGGCTACCTTTTTTTCATGATGATTTGAAGTACATTCAGTGTCATGCTTGGTTGGAAAAATTATTGGAAGGATAGGTTTTTGGCAGGCTTTGACTTTATCTTATGCAGGGTGTCTCAAGTTGTTGAAATCAGTTCTATGCGCTTCTTCTATATTTTGGATTTTATCGTTTATTTTACCAAAGAGAACATGTAATATGATTAAACGGTTGCATAGAAACTTCCTATGAGGTGGCATAGTTGAAAATAAAGGGGTTCATCGAGTTAAATGGAACACAATCTGTCTACCTCAAGCAGAAGAGGGTTTAGGGATACAAATAGCAATAGGCCCTACAAGCGGTGATTGAAAAATCGGCTAGATAGTTTCTACTTGGTAGAGTTACTTAGGCTTAGGCCCTTGCCGAGCTAGAGTTGTCCCGAGTTGGGTGCCGAATCCGAAGATATTAAAAAAAATTCAAAAAATAAAAAATAAAAATTCTAAAGATAAGAAATTTAGTTGGGATTTTCTTTTTTATGTTTTTAATAATTTTGGCAAAGTTTTGGAAATGTTTACATTTTTCCGTCGTTTTTGGATTATTTAAAAAATATCCCCAATCACAATGTCCGTACCATCACCCAATCTCAATTTCAAGACCTGTACTTTGATATACAATACAGATAGCACGTCTAACTATCTAATGTCCGTTCCATCACCATGATATTTAATCTTGACCGCCCATAAGTGAAAGCGGCAGATGCCCCTAGCATACCATGTTACTTACTATTGACATGTGTATATCACATTACTTGTTGCACACCACATGCATGACTCCACCATTGTTTTCAGCTAGGAACGGTGGAGATGAGCCGCGACTTCCCTCGTTGTCCCTCCATAAGAGGAATCTCAACATGGATCGGTGAGAATATATGGCAGAGGATACATGTAACATGCTGCATATATGCGGACTAACTAAATAAGGCCAGGATTGTGATGCTTAGAAAGACCGGCATTTATTCTCGAAAAGTTTTTTTTGAGTTGGCCGACTCATACTATTCTTGTATTGTCTTTTTATAAAATATAGGAAAGGTTTCTATACTTCTCCTACATCATAGAAGATCTATGCTTCTCTTACCATCCAGCCATCCAATTTTGATCAAGAGAGCCAACCACTCATCGTTTCATCTTATATTTGACATCTCAAATTATTATTTTTTTAGTTTTTATTTTATACAAATTGTATGAATATGAAATTTGGCACGTGCTATCTTATCATTGGAGCGCACTTATTAAAAATATTAAAAATAACTTTTCGATAAAATATAACGACTAAAGTACCCCTTGAATCTTTAAGGGATATTTTGGTCATTTTATTTTATTGAAAATATTTTTTATATATTTTTTACTAGTGCGAGTTTAATAGAGGATTAGACATCCAAATTTAATGTTAAAATAGTTTATAGAAAAAAAGTTTTAAAATAAAATATTGTAGAGATGTGACATTGTGATTGGGGCAATCTTAGCCTTCCATTCAGAATGGACAGTTGGATAAGGAGAAATATATAAGTTTTATACGGTACGGAAAGCATAGAAAACTTGCCTATAAAATATATCTTAAATTCAAAATTTTAGACTTCAATAATATCATATGTAACAATAATCTAAATTTGAAATTTTTTTTTTTTAAAAAAACATCCACTTTAACTTTTAGTGGATGTTCCATTTATGAGATCAACATTAAATAGACAAGGGACCGTACGGTAATAGATGAGTCTGCTGAATCACCAAAACCGTGTCCTTTATTCTTAGGAGGAACTCTCGGCGTAAGGGTGTTTCTTGGGCCCCTCTTATATATTGTTTGTTGTTTTGTAATTTGGTTAGTATTGGGTTTTCAATGTTGACCAAATGAGTTTTTACTCCGATAGGAGCATACTGCCTATTTATTCCCTCAGGTAAAACAAATCTAAAATTAACTTAGTTAATACCCCGAATTTTCGAGATGTAAAACCTTCGACCGTCATGCCTATCTCAAATTTTCCTCATTACAATCCTTACCCACTTTAAAAATATAATATCATAAGATTGAACGCATACTATCTAAAATTCTTAAAGGGTGAGATTTAAGTATTAAAAAACTCTAAAATTTTTAAAAAAATTGAAAAATAATCGTCTTATAATTATTAAGTTGTTCTCAAAATAAGATTAAAAAAATCAATCTGATCAAGAAAGTAAATGTACACTATGCTCACGTGGGAGCATAGGATACGCGCTCTTTTCAGGCGGGGGCGCTTGTGTCGATCAAATATAGATGGATCAATGTCTTGCTTGGAATTTCGAATGCCTGTGATTGGAATTCGAGACCTACCCTCACATTCGATTGCTTCAACCCCACCCCACCAATTCTGAAGCAAAACAGGGAGGAGAGAGAGAGAGAGGGAGGAAACAGTTAAGCTTCTTCATCTCTGAGTTGGAATTCGCAGCAATGGCTCCTGATAATGAAGTAGAGGTGACTACATCACACCTTCAATCGCCTCCTCGTCGATCAGTCCATCGTTGTCTTGGCGGTGGAGCAGGTTCTCTTTCTCTCTCTGTATCTCTCTTGGCATTCTCTTTCTGGTTTTTCTATTCTTATTTCTGAAAGAAGGAAAAAATGGGTGTTTCTTTTCCAGTTGCGGATGTGCTGCTATGGAAGCGGATGAATCTATCTGTGTTTGTGTTAATGGGTGCCTCGGCGTTCTGGTTCCTTTTTGAAGTAGCCGGTTACAGTCTGTTATCTCTTGTGGCAAACGTGCTCTTGCTTTTGGTTGCCATTCTCTTCTTCTGGGCAAAGTCTGCCTCTCTTCTCAATAGGTAATTCATTGTCCTCTTGGATCTCTTTCATAGCTTGTTCAATCGAATCTCTTCACTGCTTTTTTTTTTTTTTCAAATTGGATTGATGAGTTTTTCTGGTCAATTTTCAGGCCTCTTCCACCGCTTCCTAATCTCGAAATTTCTGAAGAAATGGTAGGGAAAGTCGCAGTTTCGGCAAGGTGTTGGATCAACAGGTTGCTTGCCATTGCACATGACATTGCCCTTGGAAGAGATGTGAAACTCTTCTTGGAGGTAACTAAACTACCCAATGCTTTCGTTCTCTGTTCTCTCTCTCATACTTATTTTGAACTTTTCCTTTATTGAACAGAGGATCTAATGAGTTCTCTTGCTATCTCGTTATTCTTTGGCTATCTCGTTATTCTTTTGCTATCTCTTTATTCTTAGATTGTTGTGTATTTTTTGTGTCTTCACCTGGTTGAATTCATCTGAGGGCATTACGCAATGCGAGCTAATTGAAATTTTGTAAAATTCGCGTCACAGGTTATTTTTGGTTTGTGGGTTGTTTGCTACCTCAGCAGCCTCTGCAGTTTCGTTATGCTTGTTTACATTGGTGAGTTTTTACGAACTTTATCTCTAAGAAATTCATTTGTCAGAGAAAAATGTTATATCTAAGAATTTGATTTCTCATACGACTTCTTTCAGATCCCCTGCTTCTAGTTATTTTATTTATTTATTTTCAGATTGTTGTGTTCTTTTTTATCTTCACTTCTTGTGGTTTGCATAAGGTTGCAACCTTAAACAGTCAAAGTAAGGTGCACCTCCAAAAGATGCAATTTAGATGTTGAAAGTTGTTTGGATAGTGTTAGAATCTATTTGTATCTCTAATTATAAAATTTTAAACCCCAAAAAAGGTTCAAATCCAGCATATCTATGAACGCACGAAAATTTTGAAAATTGATGGTCCAAATAATGTCTTGCAAGATGTATTATTTTTAGGACTTGAAATCTCTTTTTTTTCTCCATATCTATAGATCTTGATGTCGACATGATCAATTAAATATTTTTCCAACATCAAAACAATGTTTTCGAAGGATTTTAAAGGTGCACCTTAATTCTACATTTTAAGGTGTGAACTTTATATAAACTTTTTTTTTTTTCAAGAATGTATCCCTATTCCCTTATCTTTTGTGGGTTATTTGTCGTTCCATTGGGAATTTGTTGCAGGAGCTGTTATTTCCTTCACTCTCCCTATTTTGTATGACAAGTATCAAGACCATGTTGATGAGAAACTGAATGCCACTCACAAAGTTCTCTCACATCAATATAGAATGATCGATGAGAAATTTCTGAGCAAAATTCCTGCTGTTTCCTGCTCAAAGGAAAAGAAGACTTAATTTTGTAGTTCCTGCGCTAGTTTTGGATGTAAAGTTCTTTCGAATTTTTTAAGGTATAAAGTTCATGCAGACTTCTTTGCTCTTGGAGTGTCGGAATTCAGAATTTTCAAGTACAATCATCTAATCTGATGAATGGTCTACGATTATGAAATTTTGAATCACAATAGTGTTCATTTGAGAACTTGTTAGGAGGCTGGATATACCTTTTGTCCCTTTTTAATCAAACCCTCTTTTTCATTTGAGCCAGGTACTATGATGTGGATCTGTTATTCTTGCAAGTCCTGTTTTGTTCATCTACAAATAGAAATGCTTGACCTTTTTTTCTCTTTTCTTTGGAAAAATATAGAAATGCATACTCATAAGGTGATATCTGTTAAACAAAAAGGTGCTGGCTTAATGAATACAGACAACATTGGGTACATGTTTCTGCAGTAGTATCCACTCCCATGATGAATGTACATACTTGGCTTGGTGTCAGGTCATAAAGGCGCTGCAATGCATTGTACATAGTGGAAATCCCACGGCTATTCTATCCCCAAAAAACTTTTTCTAGGCCAACATTTGTCTAAGGTTTAAAATGAACATGTATTAGATATGGAAACTATGAGCAAAATTAAGTTGATGGTTAATAAAGAGCCCGAAGTCTGTTACTATCTCTGTTTTTACTATGTGCTTAATTTCTTATGTATTTTCCTCAGAGTTTAGGAGCTATTACTGCAGCTGAAACACATGTTTGCAAACAAGATTTGGAATTACAAGCGCCAAAAAGTTTCCTTGCGGGCTTAACCATGAGGAATCTTCTGAGGAAATTCCTTTATTTGCCCACTGTATTAGTTGTTTTCTTTGTCAGTAACTTTTTTTGCAGCGTCTAGAATTGGGTAATTATCTATTTATGGTTCCAGTTACTTCAATGCATGAATGAGATAGTTTGATCATTTTTCGGTATTGTCACTTGGGTTATTTAGCTTCAATCCCTTGGTATAAACCTGTTTGATGTCGGTTTGTAAATCTGGTTTGTAATGAGTGGATGTTGTTGACGGAACTTCTGTAAGATTAACTTGGGTACATGTTTTTGCAGTAGTATCCACTCCCATGATGAATGTAAAAATGTGGTGGATCTTCTATTGTTTTATTTGTCTAGCCACAAATGGTGGTTCGAACTTGGTATACTATCATTACATGGTTGAACTTGTCTATTTCTATTTGTATCTGGTTTGTAATGATTGGATGCTACTGACTAAACTTCAGAAGGACATGTTTGGATACATGTTGCTGCAGTAGTGCCCACTCTCATAATGGGTGGATATGTGGTTTTCTTTGTCTACCCACAAATGGTGGTTTGAACTTTTTATATGGTTGTTTTAAAATATGTAGGCTGCATAATATACCACCAATTTAGTATAACCTTGGGCTTTGCCTTTGGTTCTTGTTCTGGAAGACAACCACTGGATGATTAGTAAGCAATGCTGTAGAGATAATCTTCTTTCCCTGCCTCCCTGTAGAAATTCCCATGGGCCCCTAATTCTCTAGACATTTCAGGTGGGCGTAATTAAGTTAAGGTATTTCTTGGCAGTGCAAGGGACCGAAGCATGTTAGGCCTAAAGCTAGGGTTTGCTCGTCAAGCTTGAGAAAGAAACATGCTCAACAAACCTTTATTCATGCCCTCAATGGTATCATGATACTTGCTGCTACGGCCAATTGATTTTAAGTATATTTAGGCTGTTGGACATGGAGCTGTAAAGCCATGAAATAGACAAGAGGCTGATATCCTCTACTCACTTAAACTGAAGAATTTTCTGTTGAGATTAATGTTTTGGATGGTGGGCATTTGGTGTCTTGGGTATTAAGGGTTTCATATGTTTGCTCTCTTCATGTAATGCTGTGAAATAGATGAGGTGCATGATGTTTCTCAACATCATGCCTCTATGTAGTATGATTTAAACTGAATGAGAACAACAATAAGAAAGGCATTGCTCAGAAACCATAGCTGACAAAATGTAGACCTGAGAAAACCTTCATATTTTTATTGGAGACTAGATTTTATAATGGTGACATTGGTCTTGAAGCCACATTGATTGAGCATGTTTATAAGATTTTGATGTCTTTTCTTTTCTATTTTTGTTATTTACTGGAAATTTGTGTTGAGCCTGCGCTAAATGGTATCATGATACTTGCTGCTGCTGCCAAGTGGATGATAGGAAGCTTGCTAAAACTTTGAACTCCAACAAAAACTTAAGAGTATCCTGAGTAGGAGTGATTTACTTAGATTCAAATTACTGGTCTTGTGCTTTTGTGGATTATTTTTTTATTCAAATTATGCTACAATGTGATTAATGTGAAAATGAGGGAAATGAAGAACAGCGGTCGAAAGAGGAAAATTCATTAATATCTTATGCAAGAATAAAGGAATTTGATTAAAATTCAGCACAGAGAAGTCCTAAGGGAGATTATGGAATTCCAGAATTTAAAATGAAATTGTGGCTTCTTACTATATTAATGAAGGAAAACGTAGTTCAAGCCCTAAACAATTGGTGCATCTCATAAATTTACTAGAAGAGGTTGTTTCGATGATGACCTCAAGTAGATCATCTTGACCTCGAGATTGGATTTCAAGTCTGAGAAATAGTGCATCTTGTAATGCATTATTTGGGCCGTCAGTTTTAAATATGTTTAAGGTTTTTAGATTTGCTCTATCTACACTATTTTTAAACATTAAATTTTATAGTTAGAGATGAAAATAAATTTTCAGGCCATCACAAAGACTTTTCCTGTTGAAAAATCATCTTTCAACGCCACGGTGAAGAGGCTTTTTTAACCCCAAAACTCTCAAATCATCTTTATTCATTTTTAAGATCATTTTCCTTTCGGATCACAATTTGTATCGATTAGGCAAAACGCCATTGAAAAAATGAATTTGGAGTTTAAAAAGTTGTTCCAAATCAACCCACCCCCCTCCAAGATTGACTATCCATTTGAGAATGCAAACCCCATGCACCACCCCTCAAAATCCATCTTTTCGAAGGATTCGACGTCAAAAAACCATTATAAGCTTTTGTAGGTAAAATCAAACCCTTGGAGCTCTTAAAATAGTCCAAAGCTGATTGATTTAGCGTCCATTGAAATAGGTGGTCTAGATCACTTATTGAGATGACATTCAGCACTTCTACAGCCCCAAAATCCTATTTTTTAAGGATTTTTTTCTCAAGGGGCAAGGATGGATTTGCTGATTTTTGTACTTCATCCAAAAATGGGGAGAAGCCTTAGTTTTTTTGGTTGATGCCCGTGCCACACTATTTAATATTCCTATTTATATTCTCAAATTGAGTGTTTTCTCCTAAGATAAGCTCTTGATAACTTTTGAATCCCAACTAGGAAGATGGTTATGCTTTGTGAACGACATTCCAAAAGGTTTGGAAATTCCTCGCATTTTGTTATGCTTTCAAAGCCTACGTTCGTTTCCAACCCCTACTTGTTCTACCCTTCACCAATGCCCATTCTTTTGCTTTTTTTGGGTAATTCAGTGTTAGTGGAAATGGAAGTCACAATATACAACTAGGCTATGGGGAGTGCTACCACCACGACGCCAACCCTTTTTCCACCAATGGGTAATCTAAGTCATAAATTCCTAGCTACGAACGTAAAGCACGGCATACAGAAAGGAACGTGTTGGTTTCGTTTGCAAATTGGAAGCCAAAATTAACTTGGGGTTTCCAGCAGAGAAGTTGAAAATTTTAAGGAAATTTATACAATGAAAAATATTTTATTATAAGGAGTTCACAATCATTATTGACCGGTAAATGTGTTGTGTGGCTAGAAATATTCATTAACTTGGCACAAAATCCAAAATAATTTTTTTTTAATATTGTAACATAATGCAGTATATGTTTGATTTCACACCCAGTGGATAAAATTGATAAGTTAATAATCTTATAGTAGATTTTAAATATCAGATCTACTTGACAATGACTTGTATATAATCTCATATTTTAAATATGACAACTAGACCTAAGATTTTATAAATGTAAGAGAAGCAAAGCGTAGAAGGAGAATGTGGCTTCATAAAAATGTAACATAGAGAGAGGAGAATGTGACAACTTTCAAGTGGGTCAATAATAGTTGACATGAGATAAATCTTCTAAAAAATTAGCCTTTTCTCTAAGGATTAATAAAGAAGTATGTAGGGGTCGGGATCAATGGAGGATGCGATGGGGAAGAGGATGAAGATGCTTATTTTCCCCTTGTATCTATAGATCGTTCAATAGTGAAAGGTCTCTGATCAAGTCCAAAATTTTCATTGTTGGTTCTCACCCCCCTCTAATGATATATTTAGCCTTAGCTTCTGGGCTAAATGGGGTTGGGATTTACCTTATAACCCAGATATTAAATCTTTTGTTGGGAATAAGGTGGCATTCAAGTTACAATCAGAAGAGGAAGTATCAAGAGCACTATGTCATAAATTTTATAGGGTTCGAGAGAAACTATTGTCATTGGATCGATGGGAACCTTGGGATCATAGGCCTTTTCTGTAGAAAGATGAAGTTTGGATTAGGTTTTGGGACATTCATTTGCATGCTTGGAACTTAACCATCAGTTGGAAATAACCAGATGTTGTAGTGACTATTATGACATAGATTGAGACTCTTTCCTTGATGTGGATTGTAGTTCTGTGAGAGTCAAAATTTGGAAGATTTTCGGTGTAAATTTGTAAAAGAAAATAAGATTGCAAGTAGATAAGGATTATTTTGTAGTTACAGTTGCTGTTGAAGGAAATACAAAAGAGAAGGTCAAACCGGTAACTCGTGATTCAATAGAGGAGAATGGTCGGAACTTGGATAAACATCATAAATTGTCTATGTCTATACCAAAGATGGCCCCTGGTTTCGACATAATTACAAATTCCAAGAAGGCTCGCTGGAAACAATGGCGGATTTTTGGAGTAACAGACTTGATTTTAAATTCTAAAATTTGAAATTTAAAAATTCTTGATTCCCATTGGTAGGCTCCTGAATTTTATGTTGGGATTTTCGAAAATCGGAGATCCTTGTTTGGCGATGCGAATTTCTTTGATAATGGAAGGTGGATCTTTTAAGCATAAGGGTAATAATGCTCCGTAAAATTTGTATCTTACGGGTATCTAATGATGTTGTATGCCAATTTGGAAGTCCCTCGGGTACATTTGAACCTATGGGAAAAAAAGGAAAAAATGAAGTTGAATGGATGTTTGGTTTGAGTTCCAAGCAGGGATATGATGACAGCCTGGCATCAGGAAGAGCTATGCAGGCGTACATGGCTGGTATTTTCCAATATCACCTAGTGATTTTCTAAATGACATCTTTTTCAAATCTTACTTTGTGGAAAGTAGTAGAAGATATGACGAAGCTTTTAGAATATTTGACAGTTTTTTGTTTCAGCCTGTGTGGTTGCCAAAGTCGGTGTTGTCCACCATCTAATTCTAGAGAAATGTATCCCCTGCCTCATCGAGTTGCTGATATCAAGGAACACTTCAAGCCGAGATGTCGGTTAGATCCATTGAATATTGACCCGTCAGCAATTGTTGTGATTGAGGTGGATGAGGAAACCCCTACTCCTATGCATGTTGGTGATGCAGATGATGTTATTATTGATTAAAGGAGATCAAGAATCACAGGACGAGCAAGTCTTTTTTGACCCTGCTTTGGCCTTAACTAAAGCAGATATTGTTGAACCGTTGGATGCTATCCCTCAGGAGTTGATGCCTACTTTAATGTTGCCAAACTGTGCTAATGAAGCATAAGACTTGGGTAACAATCAGGATAAGAAAGAAATTCTAGTTGTTTCAATGATGGGGGATATGGGGATGGATTTCAATGCCCCCATTAGTGTGATTTATCAGGAAATCAAGGAGTACAAAAGATCAAGAAGTCTTTAGAAAAAGGGGATTCAAATGCTTCGGGTGATGTTCTAAAATCTTGCGAAACTCTTGCTAAACCAGTTAACAAGAATAAGAAGGACAAGGGTACATTGAAAGGAACCGCTCATCTTGCTAGATTGGAGGCACGAGGAATTATTAAGGGAGGCAGCTATTCCAAAGATGTCATCTTCAGTGAACCCACGGTAGACTTAAGCAGCAATACCTCGTCTTCGGACACATCAGCAATGTTAGAAGCATGGATGCTGAAAGAAACTTATTTTGAAATGGGTCTAGATGGACCAAGTTCATCTTCTAACCCCCTTTGTTAAATGAAATTTTTATTTTGGAATGTAACGGGTTTGGGTGATCCCAAAAAAAAACGTGATGTTTTATTTTTTGTGTTCAAATATAAACTTGGTGTGTTGATTTTGCAAGAGACCAAACTCCCTAGCCCCAATGTCTCTGTAGTTAAGAGAGAGATGGCGCTTAGGGGCTGTTAGTTTTTGTGGTATTGATGCCATAGGTACTTCAGGTGGGTTATGGGTGTTGTGGGACCCATTGGTCTTACAAAAAAATTTAGATTATTTTAAGGGATAGGTTTCTGTTGATTGGTTTTCATGGAACTATGATGGGTTTTTCTTGGGGTCTTTTGAATGCATATGGTCCTAATTTGTCTGCTCTTAAAGGAATTTTTATTAATGACATGAATGATGTTATTCAAAATTTTCATCCATTGTGTATTAGGGGGGAATTTTAACTTGATTTAGTGGACTGATTAAAATTTTGCTGATACTCCCATTAGTTCTACGATGATTAACATGCACAATCTTTTTTCCATGCACAATCTTTTTTCCACTGGGGTTGTCAAGGCCAGGATGTGTAGTATTTGGGTTGTACCCTGCCAAGGTGGATTTAAACTGAACATTGATGGAAGTTCTTTGGGTAATCCAGGAGTGGCTGGGATTGGTGGAGTTATCCGTAACGATAATGGTGACATTATCTTCACCTTCACTGTGCCCATAGGCATAGCCACTGCCAATCATGCAGAAATGTTAAATTTGCTACAAGGCTTGAAGAGTTTTTTAGTAGAAATCTTGGAAACTGCTGCATGATTGAATGAGACTCGATAAATGTCATCAATTAGTGCAATAAGGTGCAAAGAGTTCCTTAGATGAGTTTGGTAATAGATCCTTGACATGGTAGAACCTTTGACAGCCTTCTTTCTCCACGTTTACAGAGAGACGAATACTGTGGTGAACATGCTCGCTAATGGTAGAGCTTTATTGTCTTCTCTTTCTGTTTGCAATGATGTAATTTCTTTTATGTAATCTTTCCATCAACAAATTATACAACATTTGTAAAAAAAAAAAAAAGATAATACTTGACAAAAAAATAAGATCTAGCGTAGTCCAAGCGCTCCATCTTTTTTTTGCGGTGTAATTTAGGTGCTCCATCTGATTTCTCAACTACTTGAAAACAAATTGGAAAAAACAAAGACTTCCAGTGTTTTATCTAATGTTTAAAAAAATGGATAGGTGACCTAGATCACCCATCTTGAAAACCAGTTGGACTAGCAGTCTGCATCTATGGATCGACTAAATCCGGCCTTAAAAAATTCCATAAAATTATTAGAATTTTTTAAAATCAGTTTTTCTAAGCTTCTTAAAAAATGAGTATTGCATTATGGATTTTCATTATCCTATCAAGAATACATAAAATCATCAATATTTGTTTCATATCTGAGTGTTTGTTAACCTCTAAATTGATTTTATACCATCAAATTGATTTTATAATCAAAATGAAATTTATAATGCCATTCATTGTAATAAAATGGATATTTCTAACTCAACTTTTTTTATTTTCTTTTATTTTTTATTTTTTATTTTTTTATAATCTCCAATGTCACTTGCGTTTATAAAGATAGGGGTTATTGCCTACCCATTTCTTATTTTTACCATTTTTTGAAATTAATTTCTTAAATTGATTATTCTTCGATTCGTATTTCTATTAATGTTTCTATTTATCTAGATGTGTTGTATTTAATTTCTGTATCATATTTAATACCATTTGTATTTAATTTCTCTTATTTTCTGCTTGAAAATCCTGACCTTACCAACTTGTCGTTGATCTAGCTTAGAGATTTTCTTACGTTGAGGCAAAATCACATTTTTTTAAAAAAATGGATCTCTCCTCTATCCCCACATTCTCCCTCTAATGACACATGTCTATTTCATCCCCACAGATTCTTCCCCTTGAGAGGATCTCTTTAATCCCTAATTCTCTATCTAAACGCTCTCTTTCATCCATCGTCATATTCTCTTAGACCTCTCGTTTTCATCCTCACATACCCATATACTCGAAATGGTCTCCTCATACCCACATATTCAGTTACTCTCCTCAGCAAACAAATTCCTTGTGTATAGATTCTCTAAACTTCACATACCCATATCATCTATCTGAAAAGTTCAAGTGATCCCTCTTTTACACCAACCAAATAATCTTCCCTCACTCACACCCACGTGTTGATGATCTATATCTTTTGCCTAATGAGAGAGGGAGGGGTAGAGGAGAAAGAGAAAGAAGGGCAAAAAGGTGCGACAAGTAGACAACTTGTCATAATTAGTATAAAAGTATTTTTAAAAACATAAAATTCGATTTAACTTTGTCTTATTCTATTGTTGTATTTAGATTCCTATCTATGCAAGTTCGCCCTTTAAAATTAACATCTACTTGAACTTTTTATTTGTAACCTTTATAGAGTTTAGTTATTTTAGCTGAAGCTTATAGATCTTTATTTTTATTTTGTCGTATGATTGTTTTTGTCATTTTAAATGGAGTCCACAAAAGTAAAAAATAGAGGGAGATTTTAAGTGGGATACATACTCATAGCCCATACAAGTTTTTTAAACTTTAAAAGATTTATCACATTAAAAAACATTAAAAGATTTATCACATTAAAAAACTTTAAAAGATTTATCACATGGAAAAAGTGACACATAACACATAAAAAACCACACGAGGGAAGATGTATATACCCCATTATACCTAGTAGGTGTGGGGCCATCCGTAAGAAAATTTGGGGCTTTTAGTAAATAATAAAATTTCGAAAAATAAAAAATTTAAAAATTTATAATAAATAAAGATTACATGGGACATGTGAGGCCTCTGAAAAATAAACCAACTAAAAAAACAAAAATAAAATCCTATATAAAATGAAAAAAATTACGTGGAACTAGCCAACCCCTACCAAGAACCGGCCATTCCCAAAATTTAAAGGGAATTGGACCGGTTCCTTTGAAAACCAATCGAGCAAGTCCAAACAATATTAGCGCTTTTTTAAACATTGGTTTTATCAATTTAAGTCTTTTAGGGTGTGGTTAGCAAGGCCAAGACCAAAGCTTTACTATAAAAAGTACAGTCACAGTCCAAACTCCACCAGAAAATACAGTTCCGGCTCTAGAACCCTTTAGGATGGTCGAAAATTTATTTCCCCTCTATTATGAAATTGTCATCATCCTTCCAGACCTTTGCTCCCTGCAGAGACTAAAGGCAAAAATAGAATAGCTAAGGAATCTGCACAGAATGATGATTGTGAGTTAGTTGCAAGTATTGGCGCACTCTTGGCACAGTGTCACACTGGAAAGCAAGGAGAAGGATATCGTTGGAAAGGGTCCTCAATCTTTGATTTCGTTTAAAAAGAAAAATACTGAGAGGTACAATGGATAACCCATGCAAACAACCATTTTGAAACAGAAAACAAACGTTCACACTACAAACTATATCGACCTCTTTTGCCAGATGATTACCATTAAAAAATTCCTCTGTAGTGAGATCAGATATGTGCATTCCGTCCTTCTACCTATGCCGGAGAGAGAGAGAGAGAGAGAGAGAGAGAGAGAGAGAGAGAGAGAGAGAGAGAGAGAGAGAGAGAGAGAGAGAGAGAGAGAGAGAGAGTAGAGTAGAGTAGTAGTAGTAGAAGTAGAGTAGAGTAGAGTACGTAGTAGTACGAGTACGTACGTAGAGTACGTACGAGTAAGTACGTAGTACG